ATTTAAATTTAGATCGATATTTAACGTTTTAAGTTGGTTTGATCATCATATCATATATAGAGCAATTTAATATCCAATCATATTTTATATATTTAATATCAAATCATATTTTATATATATTGAGCAATATAATATTAATGCTCATTCGAACGCCTTTGACACGGAACTCTTGGCAGCCATTGTAACCGAGGTAATAGCGAGAAAGAGTCGCAGCACTTTTTTTTATAAGAAATTATGAATGAAAGTCTATGCAAATATCTAACTTATGTAAACTTCAAATTATGTAATGTTAAAACATATTTCAAGTTTTTAAGTTTTACTTTTACTTAAAAACTGCATTGCGACAGCATCCTTATTTTTTATTTATAAAATTTATTTCCTTTATAAAAAGTTTTAGTTTATTAAATAGTGTTAAACTTTTATCGAACAATGCACCTTAGCAAAACTTTTATCGAACAATACACCTTAGTGGCCAAAGTGGCTGGCTCGCAGCGTTTCATTGCCGTGGTAAAAATAATAGATTATATTATTAAACTATGCATAGTTTATATGAACGGTCGTTCATACTCACTCATACCCACTATGCATAGTGAGTATGATCATATTATTTATATGATTGAATATGATCATATTATTTAACTATACATAGTAATAAACATCATCTATGATGCTTTTTTACCTAAACAACGTATTTAAAATCTTATTCAAATTTGGACAAGCAATCGTGATTTTTTAAAGATTTTTTTTGTTTTTTTGTTTTTGAATCTTTGGTCTTTTTTATTTTATGTTACGGTCAAATTTATCATTTTACTTTTTCGTCTTTTCATAATTCACAGACCTGATCATTTAACGAAAATATGTCGTGGTCTGCAAAATAAGATACAGACGTTGTAATCTTTTAAAATTGCCTTAACTACACAGAGAATGTAGAACTCTCGCAAATAAAGGTTCAATAACACTCAAGAAAATTTTAACTGGTGAAACAGTTTTTGTATAACATAAAATAACTGGATCAGATTTACATAAAAGTCTTTTAATTACATCTTTATTTGTGTTTATTCTTGAATTTTAACGGGAATCATGTTCCCTTAATTTTCTAAATTCTTTATTTCTAGCTTCTTGAGCTTCTTCACTAAACAGACCTATTAGTTATAATAAACTTTTTATTACTTCTGCACCATAAATTAAGATCTGATATATATGATATATATCTTCGTTCATATTGGTGTTTCTAAAACAATTTTTTTTTATTTTTTTAAATTTATTGTTATTGTTATTATTGTTGTGGGTGTATAACCTGTCTTATTTATTTTTAAATATTCCTCTAACTAATCTATATTTTTGTCTTGACAACTAAATATATAGCACTAAATATTTAACTTAAAAATAAAGCACGACATTGATTTTTTTTGGACACTATTGAAATACTCCAGCGGCGATAACTTGATTGAACGTTGAAACTCAAACGACCAAAAATTTATTAAACGTTGTCACGACAAATTAATTGACATTGCTAAATGGTTTTAAAAAAATTGATTGCTAAACATTTGTGAAGTCATGTTTTTTAAAACAAATTTAAAAAAAATTTTGATAAGGAAAGCTATTGGTAATTATACATAATAAAAAGCAGGAACACAATCTGTGTAACAGTATAAGTTATATTAATAGTGTTCTTGCATTTATCACTTTTACTTTTAAAGCTTAACCCTATGTGTGATAATACCAAGTCCCACTAATTTAGCGACAAAATTAGTACGGAACTAGAACTGCATTATATAGAGCATTTCCATTTTTGTGCACGATTTTTTTTTTTTTTTTTGATTTTACAATTAGAAGCTGTGACTTAAAGCAATATACTATTATAATTTTCAACAAAATAGAACAAAATAGAACAACTATAACAAAATTTATTTTTAATTTTTAGGGTACCTGAATCTTTAAATTTATATATTTTTTATCATTTTATTTTTAATTATATTTATTTTTTTAATTAAATATATTTTTGTTAATGTTTCAAAAGTTTAAAAATATACAATATTCTTCAAAAATCTTCTAGCTAGAAACATTTGATGATTCATTATCGAAAATATGTTAAGCATGAGTTGTAGAGATTTGTTATTTTACTTGATATACTCACAAGCAATTTATTTTTATAAAAATAACTACTTGAATTCGCCGTTGACTCCCGTGACTTTCGTGCGAGACCTTACATGAACTGCATTTAAACAATTGCTGACTCTATGATACATAATGTAATTCCATAGCTTTTTGGAAACCTTTACTAATATTTAAAATATTATTTTAAAAAAACTGCTGAAACTTATATTTTCCGAGGAGTTAAAGTTTATTTATACAGTAACTAAAATTTACGTTTTTCTGTTCCGAGCTTGATATCGCTTCAAACATAATTTATTCTTTAATAACATTACTAATGTATACCATTCTTTGTTTACAAAATATTTTTATAAATTAGAATTAATTATGAAAATAATAGACGAAACATACACGAGTTTCCGTGCGTAATTTTTTGTAAATGCCCCTACATTAAACAGCATTTCTGATAAAATTTTTTATTTCTGATAAAACGAGTTTCTATTAACCAAGATGATAAATTTTTGTTTAAAAAACTTATTTCAATAGACTTCAAAAAACTCAAAACGAAATGAAGTTGTATGTACGACAGTTGCCAAACTTTTCTTTTTTTCTTGTCATTTTTTTAGATTACTGTGCAAACCATGTTTTTATTGACTTGGAGAGATAGTTAAAAAAAAAAAATTAATCACGCCAAATTTTATCAAAAAATTTAAACGAAATATAAATACTTCATAGGTCTAAATGCATGAAATTAAAAAAAATATAAACTAAATAATAATAATAATTGTTCAAAAACATTCTATTTATTTAAGTAATGGGGAAATTGTAATTATTATTAATTAAGGATTACATAACATTAAACAAAATACCATGGTTTTAATCAACAAAAGATCCTGAATGTTGAAAATAATTGTTTTTTACTAATGGCTTTAGTTTCCTTATAAAAAATCAAATTAAATTTTCACTTTATAAGATTTTTTTAAAAGAAAGATACAGAAAAATAACAATATAAAAAATTTGTATTTGTAATTTTTTTTCTTTTAGAAATAAGTAAAAACAGAAAGGTTACTGCCAAAATTAGGTAATTTTTTCTAAACATTTTTCTTAAATTTTCTTTAAAATTTGCTAACTATTTACCGTTATGGCGGAGCATAAGTTTGTCACTTTTACTTTTATCAAATTGACAAATCAGTGCTTGAAACATTAGTAACAACAACAACAACAAAAAATCAGATCGGAATTAAGATTATTTTTAAAGAGAATATTTATTCTTTGAAAGATATTGGTAAAAACTAAAAAAGGTTTAAACTAAATATGGTATGAACGCATGTTCTGTTTTTACCAATAAGGTACTTTTTTTATTAATCTTTTATTTTAGCTTAAAATATCTATTTTTTTATTTGTATTAACATTTAAAAGTTTAATTTTTATAAATAAAATTTTTATAAATAAATCTCTAATAATAAAATAGCTTAATGACAACTTTTAGTAAAAAAAATTGAACTTCGTTTTTATAAACTTATAGTTAATGACTACATCTCGTTTAGTCGAGCCGTCATGTCGTTCTATTTAATTTAGAGTCGTCATGTTGTTCTAATTAAATTTATAGTCGTCATGTCATACTAATTACAATCATGATTGTCGTTCTTTCATTAGTTAAGGTGAGTTTCCACTCATTAAACGGGAAAGGGAAGGAAAAAACAATCACGTGGGCATGCGTATTATAAGTTTTAATTTATCCGAAGTAAAACTGTGCATGCTCACGTGATTATTTTTTTCCTTTCTTATCCCATTCCTGTAAAAAAACGGATTAGTGGAAACTCACAAATAAACAAATAAAGCAAAGATTGTATAATTCTATTAGGTCTAAGCTCATTTAGTTGCACGGTTCACTACTTCCGGTTTATAAAACAAATTATTTGTATAATAACTTGTTACAAACTTAAATGAGTTTATCAGATTCTAATAAATTCGTCATTTGCAATAAAATTAAAATGTAAATATCTTTAATTCTATTATTATCGTAAACTCTAAATAGCTTGATTCTTTTCTTTAAAGATCGTGATCCAAAAGCATTCATAGGTCATTTAACTTAATGTTAATTTTGAAAACATTTTTTCCTTTTTGCTATAAACGTAAATCGTTAAAACTGCAATCAAAGTAAAACCATTATTAAATAATTTAACATCCTTTCATAAAAAAGCTTTAAATGTCCCTGTGTACAAAAATAACTTTTAGCCTTTATATATCTCTTCTAAAATTGCGATCTATTGCTTATAAGAATAAGAATAAACAATAAGAAAAAGGTAAATAAACAAATGTTGTTTTGGAAACATAACTGTTGTAAAAATGATTTTTTTTCATTGGTTGCACACAATAAAACAACACAATAAAAGTCTTTGCGCATCAAACCACCGCCCACAAAAAGTCTCTGCCTTATAAAGAAAACAGAGTAAGTTTAAACAGTTGTTGTTTGAACAGCGGCCTACCACTAAGAATGCGGTAAAATTCCGCTACACTGCTATTTTATTTACTATATTTTTGTTTTTTTAACTTACAGATAAAATTGGAATTATAATTATAACTGTTTAGTTTATATATATATATATATATATATATATATATATATATATATATATATATATATATATATATATATATATATATATATATATATATATATATATATATATATATATATATATATATATATATATATATATATATATATATATATATATATATATATATATGTATATATATATATATATATATATATATATATATATATATATATATATATATATATATATATATATATATATATATATATGTATGTGTGTATGTATGTATGTGATATGTAAACTTTTGTTTTAAGTTAGTAAGAAAGGAAGAAAAAAGAAGAAAAAAAAGTTGTTCTCATAATTGGCATAAATACAAAAATGAACGTATTAACAAGTAATTATTTTATTACATAACAATAATATAATTTATATTCTGCAGTTTTTTAAAACTCTGGCAAAATTAAAACAAGAAAATTTTTTTACAAACAATCAACTAAAAATTTATAATAACTTTTGTCAAGTTATTATTTTTTGTTTTAAAATACATCCTATTTATGGTTTTTGCTTATCTGGTTACGTTTTTTCTAGTTGTGCTTCTGTCTTCTGCGTTTATTATAAGTTTTTTAATGGCGCTACTTGTTTATAAGTTTTGTAAACATCAACAATTTCAAAAGAAAAAAACGCTTTTTGGAGGAACTTTATTTGTAACTAAAAAGAAACAAAGTAGGAAAGAAATCGAATTTAGTTTGCCTGTTTCATATCGAACTCTAAAAGCTCAAACTCCTTTTTTACAAAACGAAAGTTACTACAAAACAGACGAAAAGGTTAGATAAATGTGAGCTTTTTTGATATTTTTGAAAGTTTAAAAATTTTAAATATTTTAGATAAATTTATTTTTTTCTTTGAATAATATTTTTTAATAATTTTCTTTAAATTCTTTTTAAACTTTTAACTTTTCTTGTTAGGACCTTCAACCTTTAATGTCCCGCAAAGTTTCTTCATCTATTCGCCCTTCGATTTATAACGAGCAAAACTCTCCATTTTCATCATCAGTATCTGGCGACGAAAAGCCTGTAGAAACCTCGCCGTTATCTCAGTATAAAGATGCTCCTTTACTCACTACCTTCCAAAAGAAGCAAAGGAAAATTAGTACCAGCGCACTTGATCATCTCGCAAAGCAGGGAAAAAGAGGCAACTGATTTCCAAGTTTCTGGCAAAATATTTTTTAAATATTCATTATTTATTAATAATAAATTTATTTAAATTATTACAATTTGTACAACAAAGGCATCTTGTTGTATATGAAAAAAAGAGTCAAATGAGAAACTATAAAATGATATAAAATAATTTTCTAGTATCAACTCTTGATCTACGCGATGTCACTTTAGTCGAAAGTTCATTCGAAGATTCACAAGAAAAAATCGAGGATGAAGTTTTTAGAAAATGTAATAAAAAGTTGTCTGTTGTTAGTAGTGAGGATGCAACTGATTTATATACAGATCAAATTACTGTTTCAAATACTTTAGTTGGTCCAGAACACCGAAGAATAGCCGATAGGCGTTCTATAAAAAATAGCGGGTTACCTTCCCATATTCATGCTATACGAACATATAAAAAGTCAGGTAAAATATATTTTTCTATAACGCATATTCACCATGAAAAGGTGTTGCGCGTGGATGTGCAGAGAGTAATGATTATTGGATCCAAGCGAGATATTGCCGACACGCATCCGTTTGTTCAATTATATTTAATACCTGGAAAAAAGCAAAAGCAAACAACAAAGTTTCAAAAGGCAACAAAGGAACCAGTTTTCAACGAACTAATTGTTTTCACAGACGTTGAAAAAAGCGAACTGGAAGGTTACCGACTAAAGCTAAAAGTCTTAAGTTACTCACGACTTCGAAAAAACGACTTACTTGGTGAAGTAGAGATGTCCTTAGGTTCAATTGACAACCATTTAAAAGAAAGTTTCAACTTGGATTTGTTTCTAAAACGTTCTCAGGTAAACTGTTTTTGTAGATTTTAAATGTTTTTTTTACATTTTTTGAGATTAAAATAGGGTCATACAACGTTCTAAGAAATATTAGAAGGGGAGAGGGAGATGGGAAGATAAAAAGGTAGTTTATTCCTATATTTTTTATAGCATAAACTTCAATAGTAAAAACTTATAATATTATAAACTTATAAATAGCTAACACCAAACACTTGTATGTTTGTACTTATGTCAGATAAGAACGCAAAAGATTGAGATAACTAGAGCAAGGTAATGGCCTACGACACGGGTTTCAATATGGAGAAGCACAATTGTCATTTTCTAAAAAAAATTCCTCTATATCTTGAAATTTCTTAAATAAAAAGGTCCTTTAAAAAAAAATTGGCCCTGGTGTAGTCGGCTCTGCAAGAAACAAAGCCCCTTGTCTCTTGTCTCTACTGCCCCTACTTTAAAAAAGGAGCAACAAATTTATGAAATAATTTTTTTACTATTCTCAACTAAATTTAGACTCATTAACAAATTTTAAATTTTATATAATAATCTCTTAGCGTTCAAAAATTATGAACATATAAAGTTTGAACTTCTTTTTTTAATGTAATTTTTCGAGTTTTTTTGTAGGTAATTTCAGAAAAATTAAAAACTAAAAGATTAACTACTTCTAGTACCCAGCCCTATCGGCAACGTAGTTTATAATTCCGTTAAATAACTTTGGCGCTCAAAAGAGCTTATAAACCCTCTAATTGTTTAATTTCTTTATAGTTTAGATAAAGATAAAAAGGTTTAAGAAGGCTTTTAATTTTTTTTAAAGGTTTTTATCAAGTAGCAACTAATTTGAAAGAGTGATTTAAAAAACCCTGAAGTAAATATATCTTTAACAGAAAACGTCTAAAAAAAACCCGGTGCCGTTTGAAACGTTTTGCGAGAAAAGATTTTTCTCGCAATGCGTTGAGAACCATTTTAGCAATCTGTTACAAATATTTTCATATTTCTTTTTGTAGAACTCCTTAGCATCGCTACATGTGTCACTTTGCCATCAAGCAACCTATAATAAACTTGAAGTTATCGTTAAAGAAGCAAGAAATTTAACAAAATCTATAAGTAAGAAAATGTTTTTTATTACTTTTTTTTTTTTGCATTACAAAAATTATTATCTGATAAAGTATTTGTTTAAAAAAGGCTCATACGTTACTTTGTCATTGTTTCGAGAAAGTTCAATAGAACGCAAGGATACACTTATAAAACGAAATTGTCGTGATCCTGTTTACGAAGAATCTTTGGAGTTTAATATTTCCACAGATTTTTCAAAGCCGCTTACAACATTTACATTAGTGGCTACTATTAACAATGTAACATTGGTGGGGAAAGATGTAGTTATTGGCCACGTGATTTTCAGTCTTACATCGCCGCAAAAGTCTGCCGCTGATCATTGGAAACGAGTACAAGACACCCCCCATCGTTATCATTCTGAGTGGCATTCACTTATTGATCCAGATGAGATTTAAAAGCATGCTTATTTTTGATACATTTTTGTAATTATGCTATATTTATTATTTAGCAATTTCTAACTTACATATTCAGAAAGGATCAAACTAATAATTTAGTAATATACGTTAAAAGATAATTTGCATCTAAGACTTTTTTCAATTACACCACCGTAAAATTGAGGTAACTTTGACAGGGTACGTTTTTTGATCAAATTGTAAATAATAAAATTAATTTATAAAAAGCACTTTGTTTGTTTTCGTGTTTTTCTAAATTTAAGTATAACGTAAAAACTTTTTTGTTTGTTTAGTAAGATTACTAAACAAGATTACTAAATTTTTAGTAAGATTTGTTGCAGTTTAATTGGTTTCAGTTTGAGGGACTAAAATTTATATATTAGGGGTACACCGATACCTGCTTTTGGCCGATGGCGATGCTTATTGGCACAGGCCGATACCGATGAATCGGCATTGACCCTATTACTTATTACATTTACATTTTACATTTGATTTTAAACTTATCTCTTTGTATAGCTTGGATCCATACAATTGCTTTTCTAAATTATAAAAAGACACTAAAAATGTAGGGAGCCCCAGATAGAAAACCGTTAAAAAAATATTAAAGGTGTAATTGTTGCATATACGCTTATATAATAACTCAGGCTTATATGAGCACTTTAAACTAGTTTTAAAAAAATCATTAAGTTAAGAAATACCAACCTGACAATTAGAACTAATTTGTAGACATAATGTATTGGTTTTAGCCTTAGTTTTAGTATTAGTTTTAACTTATTTTTGATTTATGTTTCAGATAATAATATCTATATTTATGTTATTGATTTTTAGTTTCTGTTTTTTGAATAATATAAATCGAATTTAATCTATATAAATATAATAATATAAATATAATGAATATAAAATAAAAAAAAAATAACTGAATAATAGAAATTTTATCTATAGCATAGATATCGTACCAAGACGTTATAAACATGTAGTTGGAATGTTGTTTTTAACCTTTAAAATTCTTATTTCAACAAAAATAAATAAGCTTTAAGGGTTTCGCAATAAAAAACTAGGTAGTTGCACTAAAATTGATGAAAACAGCAAATTATGCTATAACCATGTCCTCGGATGTTTCGGATTCTCAGTTGTTTAGTAAAAATTTAGTGTACGCATATTGTAAAGAAACGATTATTTGGCTATTTTCAGGAAATATTTCTTGGAATAAACGAGTAAAGTTGTTCCAAAAAAGAAAAAAACATTTCGTGCTAGATTTGCGTTCTGTGTACCTTAAAATGGGGTTACTTAGGTAATCCGTAAAACTTGAGGTTACTTGGGTCAAATTTTGAGGTCTTAAATAATGGGTAAGAATAGCTTTTAATCTATACAGTGTTAATTCTACGGTAATGGCAAGTTAACATATTGTTTGTTTTAATGTACTTTCGTCACAAAATCTTAGCAACACAACAATAAAATTATTCAAAGTTGTTTACACTAAAAATGAATAAATTTTTATAAGATAAAACTTTATTAAACATTTTTTACAATAGCATTATAGGATGGAAAGGTGTATATCAAATTTACTAGTGCTAACATTTATATCACATGTTGCAATATTGCAACATGTGATATAAGTTACCCCGAAGGCCTATTATATGTAATAATAGGCCTTCGGGGTAACTTGGATTAATATTTATTCAAATTTTTTAAAACAGTTATTTTGTAATAGTAATTTATAAAGACAATTAAATCATATATACTTGTTCAGATTATATTTGATTTTATTTGTTAAGTTAGCACCGTTTGATCTAGCCACCTTAACAAAAATAATTTGTGTCTTAACAAAAATAAATTGAAAATGTAAAACTGTTTCATTTTTTAGATGCCGAGGAAATACAATACACAGTTAGGTGCAAGACAATATTCCAATTATCCTTATGAAATGGTTGAGAAGGCTTTGACAGAGATTAATAAGGGAAAGTCAATTAGGGAAGTGGCAATAGAATTTAAGATAGCAAGAGGAAAACTAAGGTCATTTAAATGTAAAAAGTCTCTTAAATCTTATGGCCAACCGTTTGCACTTAGTAATGAAGAAAAAGCTGCCTTAGCTCAAAAATTACAAACTGCTTGTAATTGGGGATATTCATTAGACTGCTAGGATTTGATGGAATGGGTCGAGCAATATTTAGATAAAACTAAAAAAAACATTAGACAATTTAAAAATAATACTCCAGGAATTGATTATTATCAACTATACCAAAAGACATGGCTTATTTTTACGGAACGCAATAAATATAAAAACATCAAGGGCTTCAGTCAATCACTCTGTAATAAATAAACATTTTTATGAAATAGAAGTATCACTTACGGATGTTAATCCAGATAATATAGTAAACTATGATGAGACAAATTTAACTGACAACCCCACTTGTAAGAAAGTCTTGACAAAACGAGGAACAAAAAGGGTACCTAGAATATTAGACCACAGTAAAACATCAATATTATTGATGGTGTCAGCAAGTGCATCAGGAAGGATGTTGCTAATTTACAGTTTACAAAGTTACACACCTGTATAATGCCTGGTGCAAAAGAGGAGATAAATAATTTTGATTCAATAGGAATCAAAAATGAATGGAAATGAGAAGCTTATGTGTAAATAAATATTGGACTTACTTCATGTAATGAACTTTATTTGTTGGGTGTAGTTTTTATAGGAAGTGCATTTTGTTTGTTTATTTTGGTTTTATAAATGTATTTTTGAATTCTGTACTTTTTCATGTCTATGACAGACTTAAATGAATAACTAACCTAAGTAACCCCAAAATCAGCTTAACTTGAGTCAGGTACAAAATGATTCAAAATCATCAAAATTTGAACGTAGTGGTTAGCGTGCTAGCTGAGGTCTGAGGTACAATGGCAGTCCTAGCCATATAAGCAACACCAATTATGTATCACTATACCTTGCAAGAAAAGTAATTTTTAAATTGGACGTCATATTTCACTGTAACAAACTAAAATGAATATGTTCTTTTATTTCACGATAATGAAAAAATCAAATTTTTTTCAATAGAAGTTATAGAATGACATTAAACAAAGAATTATTAATAGAATTTAATTACTAGAATTAATAGTTACAAAAACTCAAATTAGCATTTTAGACCGTTGAGAAGCGGAAAATTTAATTTTAAGTCAAGTTCCTTCATTTTAGAATATTCATTTTCTGGTTCATATAATTTGCAATCCAAGGCCCGCAAAGACAAGTTCGGCTCCCCAAGGAGATATTTTAAAGTGAAAGAAGAAGTAGTCTTGTTAGAAAGATAGCATAGAGAAAGCAGACAGGATTGCACATGATGTTAGAAGGTGCAATATGTTACGTTTTTTAATTTCTTATTTAAAATTCCGTAATTACGGCGTTTGTTTATACTGGTATTGCGTATTTTATCCTCCTCCGGCTAATTGCTATATAGAAGCCACATTACCAAGGCCCACAAAGACTGGTTTAGCTACAAAAGGAGCGTCATAACCCGCTCTGCGGATTGAGAGTAAGGTGAGCTTGGGAAGAATGAAGATTTCTTAGAGTGAAAGACAGAAGAAGTGTGTTAAAAAGATAGCATAGAGAAAGCAGACATGAATTGCACACGATGTTAGAGGTGCAAAACGTACTGTTAATCAGTTCACCTAATTAATGTACGCCGACAAAGACATGATTGGAGTTCACTTGATATGAACTCTTTTTCAAGTAACTTTGTCGTTTGTTTATACTGGTATTGTGGTTTATCCTCATCCGGCTAATTGCTATATAGAGGCCACATTACCAAAGTCCACAAAGACTGGTTCAGCTTTGAAAGGAGCGTCATATCCCGCTCTACGGATCGAGATTAAGGTGAGTAATGTAAGTTTGTAATTTTAAAGATGAGGAAGGAGAGTAGAAAAGAAAAAATAATTATTTTTAAACAGTTTAAATATTTTTAAACTATATTTTTAATTGATGCTACCACACTACTATATTTAGTTTTCATTCACCTTCTTTTAAAATTAATAATCATTTAACTTTTTCTCGCAGTCATACATGTATTGAAAACAAACTTAAAGGTTTTCTGATTTAAAAAAATGTGATTGTGCTGATCGGTTCATAAGCTTTAAAAAGCCTGCCAAAAAGAAGCACGAAATAAAAAACACGACCTTGTAAAATTAGTTTGAGTAAATGGTTACTGAATAATGTTATTATTTTAATTTATTTTAAGTTGTATTTGTTTTTATGTTTTAAAGTGTGCAAAAGAATAGGACACGAGTGCGTTATTTGCACATAAAACATAGAATAGTAAAAACATTCAGCTTTTAAATATCGAGAACATTTTAAATAAAAGAGGATGAGGAGGATGACAAATAAAATAGCACGAGCTTAACATGAGTCTTCAAAAGACTTTTTTCTTTCTATAAGATTAGCATTATTCTAACCCTTAATGCAAATTAAAGTATTAAATTAATTAAATTCAAATTTTTTTAAATTAATTTTTACTTAAATTAATTAAATTATTTATTTATAAATTATTATTTATTATATTAATAAAAAAATTAAGTTGAATTATTTTATTTAAATTAACAAAATTATTTATATAAATTAATTAAACTCTAAGTCTTTATGCAAATTACTCATTAGATTTTTTTTATATAAGAGTTTTTCGCATTAATAATTAAACCTGTCATTTCGAAAAAGGCACAAGTTTATTAAAACTTTTCAAAATCCACAAAAACATGATTTTTATTAAAATAATGTCTACACTGGAAAAGAAACTAAACATAGAAGTAGATAAATACAAAACGTATATAACTTATGTAACTTTTTTTTTTTATAAAAAAAACATAAATCATACAGAAATTTATAATTTAAATTTATTAACTAACTATTAAAAGTTTTGGACTTGTGTCCTTTTCGAAAAGACAGGTTCAATTACTTTTTATTAAAAGAAAAAAAAGTTAGCTTTATCTTAATTGTAGTTATCATTACATTAAAAGTTACTTCATTTACTGATTATTTTTTCCAAAATAAAAATCCTTTTTTCTTACTTATATCTACTATGACCATAAAAACTTTTTTTC